TGGCAGCGGCGGAGCGGCGGCAGGTGTTAGAGGTAGGGAAGTTTGCAATCATGTTGGGGAAGTGCGTGGTATCGAAAAGTTACCCGCATCCATTTTGTCATCCACATTAGAACTGATCGACCTGATCTGTGCTTACTGATGATTGAAATTCATCTGAAATTGTGCGTCCGCACCGAGCAATCATTCCTCTGCTGCGCTACACAGCAGTTCAACGTCTTCAGTGAAATGAGAAGGAATAACGGTACTATCAAGATTTTAGAATGATTAAGGTTTTTGCGTTGAGCTTTCTAAAAGGTTGGGTGTTCACACCTTGTTCTTCTTGGCTCCAAGCGGTTCAGATAGTGGCTTATTCTCAAACAACAAAGCACTGCAACAGCTCGAAAATAGTTAGGTGAAGATTGCTCCTGTCAATTTGTATCTACAAACATGTGCGTCTGTCAAGACGATGGAATGATCGTGGGTCAAAATATTCCAAAATTGTTTGCACTTGAGAATAAACGGAGAAGGAGCTTCAATCCTACTTTTTTGTCCAGACACATTTCGACCTTAAACAACAATAATCCAGAATTATAGCATATATTCATTTCCTTCAGGTTGGGGTGGCGCTGGACCAGAGCAGTCTTTTCTTGGTGGATCTCGTTCGACCTACATGCAACGTAAGCAGAGCTTGACAATTTTTGCCTCATTCAGAATTTTACACATTGATATAGAATTCTTTGCTCTATTGATGTTCAATTGAGGATGCATTTATAGCGGATCGGGTAAAGCTACTTTGTTGTATACGCAGTGAACGAGTGATATTATTCCAGCTGGATGGAAAGGTACGAACTCCGCTGGTCAAGCTGGTATAGGAGGAGGTTACGGAACAGGAGCGAGCGGTTCTGCAGGTGAGCCCAGCATAGGCGGAATTAGCTGAACTGATGGACGGGGTCAACCAGGTGACCCCATCCACCAGTTCCACTGATCAGGTCGCTACACTAATTTGGTGTGCTGTCGCAATTCTTTTTCTCCTTCCTTGAACTGGGATTTATTTTGCTTATGTGCTCCCTGAGAATCCATTAATTCTTCTCTCTCAGATCGTTGTGACCCATCACTGGTCATAACACCTATTGGGAGCTGCTGAACGCCTGTTTGCAATCGCTTCACTCATATCACAGAATAACGATAGCCCCGATTTTCCGTATGAACAGTGTGATAGATTGCTTCAGGTGGGACAGCAGGCTTCAGCGGAGGATCAGTCGGCGGCGGACGTGGTTTTACTGGTACAGCTGGCAGTGGTAGACCAAGCGGTTTCAGTGGGATTGGTGGACAGGGCCAATCAGCTACAGTTGGAGGGGCTAGTGGTAGGGGACAAGGAGGCGCAACTGGTCAAACAGGAATCAGTGGGTTTGGTGGAACCGGTGGTCCAGCTGGTGGAGGTGGACAGAATGTTGGAAGCCGAGGTTGAGTCAACGAAAAATATTGCAGTGGAAAAATGAGAAATGTTCCTTTAGGAAAAAATCCTTTAAAGAAAGGATTCTTCTTTTAGAGTCCACTAGATCAATTCCGACTCATCATCACTTAGATGGGAGCAACATGTTGTAGATGAAATTGTTACGTTGGGAATTTGAGGTGTAATAGGTTTGAGGAAGTGGATTTCTGAGACGAATTATTGTTTGAGACTAGGTAAGATTACGACGTGGAATTAGGAGAAATTGTGTTGACAAAACACTCACATAAAATAGTCGAAAATGAAGGCCCTTGAGAACAAATCAACCAGAATCAACTGCCATTTTCTGTAAAATAAATTGAATAAACTGACAGATAGCCTGGATGATGTTGTTCCGAGAACTAATCATACTCTCACTTCACATTGCCTTATTTCATGGTAATCATTTGCAAAAGTTTTCCAAAAAAGACGGATTTATTACAGGCGGAAGTGGCGCTGCATCCGAACAATGGTTCATTGGTAGTTCTCGTTCATGTTACATGATGNTTTTAAAACTATTTTCCAGTGATCGCGTTGTCGCTTTATGGATGAGTAAACCACAAGAAAAATCATTATTTTTCGACAAATTCCGCTCATTTTGAGCGCAGAAGTATCGAATGAAGAAATTCATCGAGAGAATTCAACGTCCATCGTTTCTTCGCATGAAACTGAACATATATGTCGAATGCACGTGGGTTATTATGACCATTTCAAGGAGAACGCACTGGCGGTCCATCTCAAGGAAGATACACTGGCGGTCCATCTCAAGGAAGAAGCACTGGCAGTATGGAGGGAGCAGGAGGAAATGCCAGACCATCAAGGAGAAGCACCTATGCCACTGGCGTTATTGCTCATGGTATAGCAGGCAGCACCTACGTTATGGATAATCAGCGTGTTCCGCAAACAGGGAAAGGAGGTGCTTATTCTGTACATTTTTTGCTGCTTGAAATTTCACTTTCGCATATTCCGATGCTTTTATGATCTCTAAATTGCCTTTATTCTTCATGCAGATCAATGATGAATAATCAGTTCCACTCAATCCTCTATCGTTAATGGGCCTAATTCTGAACTGTTTGTTTCTTGACCGATTAGGTTCATCGCTTTATCAACAGTTGAAAAATGTGTTCCTCTATGTTGCATTTCGCTGTAAACGATCCAATCGTTGTAAACTGAATCAGTGATGAGATGGCTGAACTTCATCCGTTGAATTCTGCAAATCTTGCAAAAATAGGAGTATATCTTATTCCCGAAGATGGAACAATCGAACAAATGTTGAACCATTTGACTGAATTCAGTGAGAATTTTGAAGTACCATTGAAAAAGCGTTTAGAACAATCAACAACAATTGTTGAATTAATCCGATTTCAGGTGCTCAACCACAAGCAACCTCAAATCAGCCGCGTGGCCCGGATAAATTCGTCCAATCAGTTTACTTCAGATGAATTTAACACGATCCATATTGTCCTATTGATCTTGATCTCTCTGTGCACATTTTGCATAATGAAATAAAACAATTATTTCAAAGCACTGTCTGCTCATTTTGGTTCATTGATATAATCTCGCATTATACCAACTTACGAGAAACAACTGCGACGTTACGTACTCATATCTCTTGGTTCGATTTGCTTCCCAATTTTACGTTATTGCTAGCTTCGAGAAAACAATACGATGAATTGCACGATGAAATGTTGCTGGATTTATGAGGATGATCACAGGTTGCTTCGAAAGTATGAACGACAGCTTGCATAAAGAAACTGTTCAATATTGGAAACTGCCCATTGTTGGTTGGATGGGATTCAGTTTGATTTATTGATGCATACATGTTTGTGCGTACATAATGGAAAATGGATATCCGAAAACATAATGTATAGATAAGTGATTGCCATAGAGGATGGTTTTGTTGCTAGGATCCCGAACAACGAGTCCATTTGGATGCGACTGATACCCATTTTGGTGGATCATTCTGTTGTTGCTCTGTTGTGTGCCTCTCGACGAACAACTCACGATGGGAAGTGGTTCGAGTTCGATTAAGAAAAAAGTATTCTCTTCATCTCATCAGAAACTTTGCTATCAATGACTGACTTCTTCCAGCTTTAGCCAGATATTTGGGTTCCGTAAAATGTATCAAGCTTTCACTTGATANGCTGAAATAGAGAAAGAAGAGGAAATCAAAGTAAATGGCGACAAATCACCTGAAAATGGTGAAAAAATTTCCCTCACTGATGGAATTATCCAGGTTCGGCTAACCTGAAGTGATCGCTTTCTGCGATGAACCCTTCATATTTATTAACAGTTCAATTTCTTGTCTGTTAGAAATGTGTAAGCAACAATGAATCGAGTTCAACTTCATTTAAGAAGCGATAACATGTCATTCCCGTACTCGCCATTCAAAACATCATTATCACGAATGAAAGGTTTAAGGATTACATCAATCTGGAGAAGGCCATCTATAGACTGGAACGGAAGAACGTTCTAAAGAAATACGAAGCGAAGACGATATTTGCAGATGAGATCAAAAAGACTCTCGATCAACTCGAGGCCACCTTCAAGGAACTCAAAAAGCAGACGTTTGTCTCATTCTAGTGCACCTGCCAAACAATTAATCAAACAAACCACTCTAAACTTCCTTCCATCTTTGCCGCAATTTAACGGAAATAAGCACAAAACATACCAGTGAACATCGCCAATATCGCGCGACAATAGCGTTGATATTTTCGAGCGGTGCAGCAGATGTGCTCGGTGCGCTCCGCTCAAAAATGAAATGCATTGGCCCTTGAGTAGTGGAATCCGTCAGACGATGAATATGAATTGTTCGATTTCAAATGCTGAAAACTCTGTGACTGAATCAGACCGGCATTGCGTTATTTCCGCACAAACTTTCTTTACTTAACAAATCGATCAGAAGATGTTCTGGCAAGCATTACTTTGATCACCAACTTTCTGTTTCCATCATCTTCGGCCATCTGAACGATTTTATATGAGCCATAGTTTTTTTACAGCGAAAAAGAAAAGGCAGACGTCGAAAACATTGAACAACCATCAGTGAGGTCGTTTCTGAAACAGCAAGTACATTTGCACGTTATCAGTATATTTAATGCTCATTCAGCTAAATCAAATGGCTTAAATGATAGCAGTCATTACTGAGCCATTTTGTTTGCATTTCCCTGTTACGATTCGGAGTAAGATTCAGCGATATTTCCAATCAGAAAGATGATCGGTTTCTCATTTCATGCTATGATTCACTTGAGCTCAATACAGTGCATTTCAGGGAACATGGGATGATCGTTTCAACAAAGAACAACGAGATTATCTAGATGCGTTGAATAAGCAGGAAGTAGCCGAGAAAGTCTGCTTATATGAACTAATTCAATGAATTTAGGAAGAAACTTTGGAATGAATACTGAAAAATGATTCGAGCTAGATGCTCCTCTCATGATGCCCGAAAAAGTTAATTGTGTGGCCTGCTATAATCCACACAGAAGGCTAGGCACTGACCTTGATTTGAGCACTAACTAAACGTTTTGATTTCTCATGACTGATCACTCGATTCGTTGAATTTCTTTTTGAGTATTTCTCGTTAAAAACTCTTCGCTACAAAAAACGAACATTTTTGATGATTGATGAGGTATCCTATCGTTTCTCAGATCTACATGAAACCTACAAAATTGAGGAGATGGATGGTGCAAGAAAGCAGTATGAGAGAGCGGCTCGAATCGCTGAAATTTATAAACAACAATGTGACAACTTGAAAGAATTGTACGAGAAGCAGGATGAAATGCTGAGTAAATACAAAATTCCATTTTCGTTCCACTCCCATCGTTTAACAATACGACTAAAATTTTGCATCGCACGAAACGAGTCTAGAGCACATTAACCTGTAACTTATAGCCTTTCATGTGTTCAATGATTATAGCTAGGTCTCAATTCCTACTCAGTTGATGTAAAATTACGTGTTAAATACGATTTAGCCACAATATTCGGTTCCGATTACGCCAGTGAAAAGGAAAACCGATTGGAAGCTGCTCTGGACGATGCTACTGATTGGCAACAACGCGTCTCATTGGCCAAGTTCAAATGGACCAATGGACGGGTGCTGCTTGTCCATGCTTGTACACAAATGGCGTTCGGTATAGCCAGATGGTCTGAGCTTGAACAAATGGATCCGAGGTTTCAATCACATTCTATCAATGCGATTCGATTTGATTCGTTCCTTGGAACGGATAAAACAGTTATTTGGAATGATTTGTTTCATTTGTTATAAGCATGATCAATTTTGATCATTTGAGAGTAAATCCCGCATGGTGGTGAAATTCATTTAGATGGGTCTGATCAGTCGATCAATAAAGTTTTAGTCAGATTCCGCTTTGCTGAACCATCAAAACATGTTCTTAGTAAAGTTTTCGGAAAGTCAGTAGACTATGTATGGAGTACTCAATACGGAATGATTTCGTTCTGGAGGTTTTTGCTGAGAAAATTGTAATTTAGCAATACAAGGATGAGATATTTCGCGGCCGCTGAAGCAAGAAACAATTTCATCGCAGCAGCACAAAACGTTCAATCGTGCAGAGTTTATTTGGGCAAAGTTCGTGAAATGAAAAAAATTTTACTTTTGTTACGGGCTCGTTACCGAGCTTTTGGTCGTTCTGCTTTCCCGAAGAAGTGATAAAAGACCTTGCTGTGTGAACCTTTTGAATGCTTGAAATTGATTGAAATAAAAAAATCNTTTAGCGTATCAGCCACATTGATTGATCATCTCTTACAATTTTCATTAGCTGATTGCAAAGACGAATTTCTGGTTGAAATTTTTCGTTTAGCTTCAATTTCCTTCGACGACTTAAGTGGTTGTGTTGGTTGAAACTAGATTTCGTTGGCCTTATTATTGATGAAGATATACTGTAGTTCAAATCGCTTTGAAATGGGACTAAATTGCGACCGAAACTCTTATCATGCGATATTTTTGCTTTTATAAGGCTACATCGGCCCCCAAACGAATGCGAAATTTGTGACCAATAGTATGGAGTGGTGCATCGATCGAATTATAGGTTCAGTTCCCATATTGCACTGAAGAAGAAATGTCAACGATGAATGAAACGCTAAATAGCGCATTCAGTGATATCCAATCAAATAGTACACTGAAAAAGGCGCTCGACGTTTACAAGAACGTTCATAAAAAGGTTTAGCTCGATATCTTCATCCAGTTGAATCGTCTACAGATCTTTATTATTATCATTATTGATATTACAAAAACATTAATCATTTCCCCTTAAGATTCAGGTGTGCTATTTACAGAGTGATTTTGGTGGAATTTCACTTGTGAATCAGTTGAATCAGTTCATGCTCTCGTTTCATGTTGACCATTGAATTCGATCAAAGTCACCGAGCAAAAGAAATCAGCCTTAAAATAGATTTTTTAAAATTCTTTCAGTTAGCCTCTCTTTTGCAATGGTTCGATAAGGTGATCAACGATACAATTTTGAAGGATCTGGAAAAGGCGGATAATGAGGTTCGATCTTGTTTACAACAGTCCGCTCATTCCGTCAAATGCGGCTGAGTGCATTTTCATTGTGATTCTATGACCATTCTCAACAGTCTATCAGTTGTTCAGATTGCAAAGAAACAAAAACAACTGCGAGAGGAACGTTTAGCGTTGATGAAGAAAAAGGTTAAATCGGAAATGAGTCGTGACTTGAAGATCGTTTATGATGAAGGCGATAGTGAAGATGATTTCGAAGCTGAAATTCTCGCTTTGGAGGCAGAAAAAATAGATAATAACGAAGAACAACCAGGAAATGATCTGTCTGTAAGTCGAAACCAATTCTGGGTTTGAGGACTACTTCTAAACGGCGTGCTTTCGAAAATGATGAGAATTTGTTCTTATTCCCTAGTTATTATTATTATTGAGTATTTTTCATAAAGAATCTTCTTCCAAGCATTGTTTTTGACAGCTAGGCAGAGATATTTTATTCTTCTGGAGGTAATTGTCCAAAATTATAGGAAATACTCAATTTATCTCAGCCGGATGGGCGTCAATCCTCACCAGTCCCACGTTCGAAACTAGCTCCAATACCTGATAAAGACGCCTTGTTTGGTTAGTTCAGAATGAATCACTTGAAGATGCTCCGATCTTACTATGATCGTTCAATTTAGTTGAAATGCTTGGCGTCATGTGTTATCCGAATTATGAAAGATTATTGCCAGCATTTCATCACCCGAATTTGCGCCGCCAACTTCATTTCGCTCCCCTCATTTCATTGCCACAAATACTCCGTTCTCATTATCCCCTTCGGGAACATAATCGAAAATGATTAGAAATTTCCACAACTTAACCACATTCCGACTGAATTTTCATCCAAATATGATAACTAGCACACATGGGGCAATGTTCCAAACTAACTTTATCGATGAAAACGGGCCCTAATGATGCTTGAATTCAACTTGATGTTTTTCGGAATTCGTTCAGTGAATCTGATATGAGAATCTGATATCATCCGAGTTGCATTAATATAATGCAGCCCACTTGACGTGTCAGTTGCTCCAGTAATGAAGTGCAAACAGTTGCTAAATGAAATATGATCGCATGATCGAAATACTTGAAGGAGACGTAAAGCAAAAACTGGATGAATATGACAACACAAGAAAAGCGCTTGAGAAGAGAAACAATTTACAGCGTGAAAAACATCAGATCGAACTTCAGGTTGACTTCCAATAGTATTTCATCAAAGGCACGAGTTCACTCGTCCATATCCATCTTTGCAGTTGAATTCAGACTGAAGAAAATGGGTTCTGTCATCGTGTTTTTAGGGTCAATTTGAAAGATGGCAAATTTCATTGCGTGCCTTGTCTTATGTAACATTTTGACTGAACCATTTCATAAGTCACCGAACAATATAAAAAACTAGCTACCATGCTAATGTGGGAATTTCTTTAAGGAAAAGATTCGCATTCGATCGCAGAACGGGCGTCGCAGTCGTGCACAACGCAGAGATTCCATTATGCCAGTTGAAGATGTGGTCCCTCCTGTTGATGCATGATACTCTAACTATTATTTCATCAACGATTCAGTGTTGCTATATTCATCATTGTGATAGATCAGTCCAAAGTGAATCCGATGTCAGCATTTCAGTATTTCAATATGCGTTCAGAACCAGTGTTATGAAACCAATAGTAGTTTCATAACGAGATGCACTCCCGAATGGATAGGATATTTTCCATTGGCAGCTATACGTATCATTCTTATCGCATGGGATGCATTTTTCAACGAAACCACTTACGAAATGGAATTGTATTTCATAAAATCTCTTTCGCAGTCACTTCACTGTATACTATTTGCGTGGCAATTGAAAGTCGTAATTTTCCTTCTTCCTACTGTGCAACGACGAAATGAATTACGTCAAATAAAAACTAACGATTCAAACTCATCATGCATTGATGAGTTCGAATCGCTGAATAAAACTGCATTGAGATAGACTGCATGTTTACTCCAATGATAAAATATTCACTTCTATAGAGGTGTTGAACATAAAACAACTGCCAGAGAGTTGTTGACAGAATTCAGTCTTATAAATTTGATTATCGAAGTTCGAAGAGTCTCAACGATACAATTTCACACAACGAACGAACATTAGAATTCAATTTTTTCATCGATCACATAAATTCAATCTAATGCCGTACTCTTCTTTTTCACAATTACACTTGACAACTCCATCTTGAGTGTGGCCCATTCAGTACAATTTTAACGTCTTCTCATACATCTATGCTGAGTCTAAGTTTTGAATCGAGTTCAGTCAGTGAGCCGTTCTTGTTTTATTTCTAATTTTTTTCAAATGTATGAGGAATTGAAATCTGAAATCTCAGTAACCATTGATTGAGTATTCTATTCGCTCACAAGCACAAACAGATGAATTTCAGTCTTTCGCAATCCTAAGCATATCCTGAAAGGTAAGGCTTGAAGTCACCCGTATGATCCTGCACAACCGATGTCCATACATGTCACGCTTTATAGTTGAAATTATAATTGGAAACGCTTTATAGTTGTTGAAATCATGTTTCCAGCTCCAGGAGTATCTTTGCCGGAAAATTGATCATATAAATTCTATAGTAAATTATAATCAACATTTTTGACAGATCAATCACCAATCAATTGCTTTTTGGCGGATCAATCGTCTTCAGGTTTTCGTACGTATGTCTGATGTGTTTACTGAAATTGTTGGGTTTTTGACGTCGACAAGTGAAAATTAATTACGCCAACACAAAATCGTGACTCGTTCTAATGAATTAATGCAATTCAGCTTATCGTTCCCGTCTCATTCATTTTAATGCGCTTCAGCCAAATATTTGCTTACGCACTAGTGAGCTGAAATCACCCATCGCGAAATACGTCATAAGTGCTTTAGAGATTACATCAAATCCTCGTTTCATAACACCCCCGATTCGAACACCAATATTCTGCTCACAGGTTTATTCACATGCAGTCAATCCACTGGAACGTTGCATTAGAATCATAATTGAAACGAGACTCGTTTAACTTTTAACATATTCGTTTGTGGATGTTA